AGGAGCCCCAGGAGTCAGAGAGCTCAGCACCTTCACACAGGAAGCTCAATGGCAGAGTAGGTGTGCTGACCCATGGGCTGAGTGGGATGCTGAAGCCCTGAAGGAGTTTTGTAATGCTTGGCTGAGTAGGGCTGAGGTTGGAGCAGAAAGAGACCTGCTTGTGGGCACGGCTGAGAAGAGGTTGTCCTGTCTGAAGACCTAGATCCTGAGTCATTTCTGACCAATTGTAACCTGGCACTTCTCTGAGTCCTGGGAACATAGTGGGTTACGAGTTGGGCCACAAACTGCAAGGCCCGCAGTTCAAATCTACTAGGTGCTCCTCAGGAGAAAAGATGAGGCTTTCTACTCCTGTAAAGATGAACAGCCTCAGGAGTACTGTTTGTGACTTGTGTGTGGCCATTGCAATGCGGAGACGAGTGGCCGGAGCGAGATTTCGGGGGTCAGAATTGGTAAAGGTTGGAGGGTTGAAACCAGCCTGCCGTCCGCCTCGTAGGCATCAGCCTGGAGCAGTTGATGTTTCTCCCCTCTTGTGACGTTGAAGGAGGTCAGATCCTGAGCTGCTCATGTACACATCTCTGCAGGTAGAGACTGAACCCTTTTCTAGGTCTGTTAGGTGGTGAAATGAGTTCCTTTCTGAGGAGTTTCCTCTGCCCTAATTTTCTACCCCAGAGGGTAGAAATACTGCAGCCCGCCCCGTGATTGGTCTGTTGTTGAATCACTTCTGAGTCATGGCAACCATGTGTACGGTTTCCGAGGAGTGGCTGGGGGGTTTGAACGCTGACCTTTTTGGTTAGCAGTCCAGTGCTTATCCTACAGCACCACACCAGGACTCCAATATACTTAGACTCCTGTGGTTCACAGTCCAGGGCGCCCCACCAGGAGCCCATACACATAAAGTGACTGTGATCCACTGAGGGACGTCCCCTGGGAGGCCCAGGCCTTGAAATGGAAAAGGAGTTTCCTTATACAAGTGGGTGTGGAAAAATTCCATTCTCTTCCCATTCCTTTTTTCCAGGAACTTTTGAGGCCCCCTCATGTGTGCTGCCAACCATCTCCCTGAAGGAGAAGCTTCAGCCAAAAGAAGGAAGCAAAAAGGAGACAAGGCACGAAGGGAGACGCAGAGGGAGAGCAACTTCCCAAAAGCGCTGGTACAGCCCAGTGGCCTCCGGGTTGGTGATGGCACTGTAGAAGCAGCAGAAGAAGGGACTTTACCTACATGTGTCCTAAGCTTGTCACTTCCTTCATAAACCTCCTCGCTGGGTGTACAGCCCGTGGGTTGTGGGTTGTGAGCGTGCCCGGGGAGGCACGGCCTGGGGAGGCCCGGGGAGGCCCGGCTGTTGTCAGGATAGGTAGCAGGCTTGGAGGCTGGAGAGTGTCTGACCTGGGACTCACGGGGATCAGCTGAAGGCTGATGGTGACTGTCTTTGCCCCTACTCAAGTTGGAGGCACTCTCACCTCAGTGCTGGTAGAAATGTGCGTTCTTCTAGGCTAGGCCCAAAGCTCTAACCAAGTACCTCGTTGAACCGACAAGTGGCTCGGTGGCACCAGAAGAGAAGGAGGACAATCGCCTGCTTCTCAGGCAGTGCCTCGGAGGTGCCTGCTCTCCCCAAAAATACTACACAGCCCCAAACCACCTTCTTTCTGTTGCCTACAATACAACCGCTCCTTTCTTTACTGTTACAGACAACATGGAATTACCATTGATGGACAACTGTTTGGGGGCCAGATGTTGTGTGAGTTGGTGTAGAAGCGGAGCCTGTAGGGAACTCTGACAATGACTCAGCCAAAGTGGGTGGGTGACCAGCGAGTGGCTCTCCCACTGACCACCTTGGTTTGTGTGAAATCCACCTATTGGTCATTTCACTTCTCATCCCCCCGTGTGGTCCTCAAGTAGTATATCCCCCTGCCCCTGAGTGCACCTTCCCCACCTAGGGAGAGGGTGAGCGAGCTGTCCTGCATCCAAGAAGGAATGTCTGCCTCTAAACCCTTTAAGCCCTGGGCCCTCCTACCCCTGGCTCCTGGCAGCCACATCCCCAACTTGGCTGTCATCCCTCTTGATCTGGGGTCAGGCACTTACTTCCCCATTCAGCTGGCTTGGGGTGGTTTTGACCTATGCTGCCTGGAGTTTCTGGGTGCTCCCTGGCTTTCGGGGCCCCATGTCACCGGCCCTGGCCTGACCTTCACTTCTGCTGCCCGGGCAGTCTACCTGAGTCCTAGGGCAAGCTGAAAGCGGCAACATGGTTTCCAAATGTCCTGAGCCCCAGGAAAGCCCCGCTCTTCAGTCATTGTCCCCTTACATCTCTCAGCCTTGTTAGAGGGCATTCAGAGCTTCCCTGGGAGCCTGACACACAACCTCCTGCTGGGCCTCCCCCTCAGCCTGACTGCCTTTCCACAGATTGGGGGCCCACATGCGCCCGCCTGGGGAGAAGCATTGAGTGCATCCTTGAACCCCTTGCTCAGCTCCCTCATTTCACAGGCTTAGGTGCCCAAGGTCGCAGGGGCAGCGGGTGGAACAGACAGGAGTAGCGAATGCTCCCTGCTCCTGGTGACACAAGAGACCTCTTTATATAAATGCATGCCGTTAAGTGCCATGGAGTCGGTTTCAACTCATAGCCACCCTGTATAGGGTTTCTGAGGAGAGGGGCTGGTGGGGGGTTGAAGTGCCCACACAGCTGTTAGCAGTCTGGTGCTTATCCAATAAATGCAGGTTGTTGTTAAGTGTCACTGAATCAGTGTAGGGTTTCTGAGGCTAGAGATCTTCATGGGCACAGAAAGCCTCACCTTCTCCTGCGGAGCAACTGGCGGCCACAACTACCGACCTAGTGGTTTGCAGTCCAGTGCTTATTGTATGGAGCCACCTCGCTCCAAATAAATACATGGTGGTGGCAGGCAATGTGCCATGGTGGTCAGTTCCTACTCATAGCATCCCTCAATAGGGTTTCTGAGGCTATAAATCTTTACAGGAGCAGAAAGCCTCATCTTTTTCCTGCGGAGCAGCTGGTAGATTCGAACTGCTGACCTTGTGATTAGCAGCTCAGCTTGTAATCCACAACACTACCAGAGCTCCTTAATAGATGCATGAAACGCCTAAATTACAAAATAAACTCATAATGTTGACGAGCAGTCATTTCCATGTCAATGTGTGATTTGGTCATGTATGTGCTTCGTTATTACAAGATAACGGGTAAGGTTGAATGACTCCAGTTAATTTCATAGTAGTGGTGAGTGTAAAGGAAATGTCCAGACAGCTGAAGCAACAGCAAGATGATACGGAATGGAATCATGTGATTTCTGTTGGTGACAAAGTCCAAGGTGCAGAGAATGCTCCTGGGCTTTACTACCTACGTTCCTAATTGCCAGAAATGTTACATTCAGGGAAAAGTTAGTCAAAATAAAGCTGAAAAGGAGCTGGAATCACGCAGGGAAAAGACCTGTGCCCGGCCCACGCTCCCGGCCCTACAGCAAACGTCCTGGCAGTTGGCACGATGGCGCAACCTCCTGGGTCGGCAGCCTCTGGGAAGCTTGTGACATGGGGGCGATCGCAGTACCCACCTCGCCAGGTTGTGGTGAGAACTTACAGTATTGGCGCGAAAACGCTAGCTAGCACCATCCGGGTATTTTGCCTCTCTCGCTGCGAATTTGGGGAAATTCAAATCGCGTAAAAGGGCGGACCCGAAAAGCAGCGGTACGCATGCGCGGGGGGGCGGGACGCGGCGGCTCTGGGAAGAAAGCGGGATGACGCGAGGTGACGCGAAGTGATGTGAAGCTCTCCCGTGGCCGCCTGAATACCAAACTACGGTCCTCCCGCGCCTTCGGCATGGCTAACCACCCTGAGACTTGAGGGCTTGAGGGCCGGAGGGTGGCCCGTCCCCCCTTTGTTTGGGCCGGGGCGGTAGAAGCGGAGCCCGAAGGCGGAGCCGTGAGGCCTGGGATCCAGGCGGCTCCGCCCCTTCCGCCCCGCCCCCGACAACTCCTCCTGCCGGCTCGCCTACAGCCGCAGACTGTGCAAAGCGGGAAAGTGCTTAGCCAAACTGCCCTTCACTCCACCCCCAGCCATCCGTGCCCATGTTGCCACTGCTAGTTAAGAATAACCTCTTTCGGCTGTACCCCCTCCAAGGACTCGGGGAAATTTTCCCATGGGGAGGGGCGGGGCTGCGCGAATCTCAGGGTTTAGCATTTTCATCCGGGCATTCCCCAGATGCCGCCGCCATCTTTGTTTTGTGCTGAAAGTCCCTATTGACGCCTGCGGACGGCCGGGCGAGGGGAAGTGGCAAGATGGCGGCTCCCAGGGCGGAGGCGTGGAGTCGCCGTTGGAAGGGTGGGGGGCCGCGGGGCGGGGCTACGGCTGGCCCGAGCGCGGCACCAATGCAGCCCGACCGGGTCCGGGTGCGGCGAGGGCCCCGATCCCCTGCTGCGAGTCAGCACAAGGGGACCCTTTAAGACGCTTCGGCTCCGAGCCTAAACAGTGCGAGGGCGGAGGACTATGACGTCACAAGGCTCCACCCCCTCGCCCGACCGCCGCCGCCATGTTTAGTTGTTACTTCTTTACACAAGATGGCGGCTCCCAGGGAGGAGGCATGAGCGCCCTGCCGTTACCGGTCCTCCTGCCGTACAGTTGCCACTTCACGGCCTAACTCTGGCCCTTTGGAGCGGCCCCTGTGGGAAGGAATCTTAAGGAGGAAAGTGAGGATCGGACGCTGCCTTGCATTTGGTTTGCAGTGGAAGAACAGAGTCAGGAGATAGAGAATAGGGGGGCAGGGGGAGATAGTCTCAAGATGGCGGCTCCCAGAGCGGCAGACGCAGCCTGAGCAGCAGCAGTCGGATTCAGGAGAGAGGTGCGAGACCTCAAGAGCCGTACAGCGCGAGCCCCCGAGCAGCCTCCGCGAGTTTGAACTAGTTCCACAAGCCTGCGACGCGCCTCCATTTCTTAGGCGTGTTGAGGCTGCTGCGGCGGGAGCGGCGGCTGCACTAAGTGCTGGGCGGGGAAGCGGCACGGTCTCAAGATGGCGGCTCCCACAATTGTGGTCTGAGCGCCGGCAGGGCTGGGACGACCGCGGCGCTTGTGGCTCCTTTCCACCCGCCCCGGAAGCCGGCCAGTGAAGGGGACTTGGGGGTGTGGGAACCGGGCCGGGGCTCCGCCATTTCCGGCGGGGGAGGGCTACGACTGAGGAAGGGAGGAGAGAGAGGCGGCTCAAGATGGCGGCTCCCACGGCCTCCCTCCCGAGCCTGTAAGTGGGAGCGCCGGGGCAGGTTGTCAGGGCGCCGAAACACGGCGGCCTCCAGCTTCTCAGGCTTAGACGCTCGACAGTTTCAGGAGGCGTTTGAAGAGACGGGGTGAGCGAGAAGATCGGGAAGAACTGGAGGGACGGAGGATAGTTAAGATGGCGGCCTCCATGGAGTCCACCGCTGTGTGAGAAACCGCTTCTTCGTGAGAACTGGCTTAGACTAAAGGGGGTGTGTGAGAGGACTCGGGGAGCCCCCGCTTCCCGCTTGGAGACTTTGTTCCAGCGCGCCTTTGGACGCAACTATGGCTTCGGCCGTGTCGCCCGCTAACTTGCCGGCGGTGCTCTTGCAGCCCCGCTGGAAGCGAGTGGTGGGCTGGTCGGGGCCGGTACCTCGGCCCCGCCACGGCCACCGCGCAGTGGCCATCAAGGAACTTATCGTGGTGTTCGGCGGCGGCAACGAGGGGATCGTGGACGAACTGCACGTGTACAACACGGGTGA